ATATTCAAGATGGAGTCTTTATACACAGCTGTCTTTTTTTCTTTCTGAGCTCTCGTTGGCATTGCCCTGAGAGGTCTATTCACAGAGATAGACTTTTTCCAGTATTCGCCTGAGAACTCTTCTAGCCTCTACCCATTAGCCAGTTTTACAGCCACTTCCATGCTTTTAGGTATTTCTTACAGCAGCAATTCAATTCTGGTACCAATTTTGTCTTAGTTTATGCTGCCATAAAATTGAAATAGACTAGGTGGCTGGTAGACAGTAGTTCTAGAACCCACCCATTCTAACATCAAATTACTGGCAGATTCAGTGTCTGGTGAAGGCCAGCTGCCCGACTCATAGTTGGAAGGCCAGCTGCCCGACTCATAGTTGGAAGGTCAGCTGCCCGACTCATAGTTGGCCATGATTTTGCTGTGTCCTTACATGATATAAAGGCAAAAGAGTTCTCTCAGGCATCCTTTATAAGGGCACTTATACCATTCATGAGGGCTCCACCCTCATACCCTAATCACTTCCTAAGACTGCATTTCCTAAAATTATGACTTTGAAAGTTAGGATTTCATCAGTACATTGTGGGGAAACACAAATATGCACTAACAACTTAGCAGCACTATAAATATCAGGAAAATTTATAATAGCCGGAGAGGATTCCAATCCTGCCTTCCACCCTTTGCCACAAAATGCCTATTGTTTTGTAGAATCCTGTAATGAGCAGGTTACTTCAAGAAACAAAATGTCACCTGGCTGTTCTGTCTAATATAGTTGTACCTTTTTTGTAATATTGCTGGGAGATTTAAAGAAACGGTTTGAACAAAGCCCCAATATAATACCTAGAACACAATAAGCAAGTGACAGAATAATGTTTTTTGTTGTGCTCTAGATATTAGGGGGCTAGTTCTGAAACAGGAGAGTCCAGTACTTAGGAAGTACCTGTATTTAATTTATAGCTTTTCTGTTTCTCCTTATGAAAGCTTAGAAAATTATTTAAGCAGTGTATTGGTTTCCTCAAAGTAATAAAATATCATGTAGAATATCAATAAAGAGTTGCTATTTATATGCATGTTTATTGCATATTCAAGTGAAATTACATAAAATCATTAAGGCAGTGAATCACTTTGCTCCCTATTATTAATTATGCCAAAATGATGTTAATGCTAGTGATGCGGGGAAGTAATTCCCGAGACTGGGAGCCATTTGAAGTCCAAGAGAGCCCTTAGCTTCCTGCAAGAAAGAATTCAGGCGTGAGCCAACAGAATAATGTGAAAGAGAGATTCATTTAGAAACAATAGAAAATTTGAAAGTCTACTGCAGAGACAGAGTAGAGGTCGGTTCTCCTTGCGGAAGAGAACCAACTAGAGCAGAGGAGAACCAGGAAGTTCCCAACAAAGGAGGACTAGCCCTGCAGAGCAGAGAACCAGCCCTCTGGTTCTTGTTAACTTTTTAGTTAGAGGCAACAGGCTAAACAAGGGGATCATTCGTGGCAGGGGCAGTGTTTCTTCATGATCTTGATTCTAAGAAGTTGGAACTTGCCCTGCTTCTATTTTGTTTAGATCAGAGCCATCAGAAACTATGTTTTGACACTTTGTGACTCAGTAAGCCTGGGCTGCAGCAGTGCCCAGGGCCACGCCCTGCCCAAACAGTGCCTGCCAGTTCCCTGTCTCAGCAACAGCTCATGAATAACTTATTTATTTTGGCCAAGATTAAGAAAAAAAAAAAAATCTTTTCCCAAAAGATTTTCCTTCCCCTTGATATACATGATTATACATGACTCCATCACTTAACCAAGTAAATAAATAGTCTTGAAATTCTAATTTATTTTCATTTTTCCTTCACTTTCTATAACCAAAACATGAGATATAGAATCTAAATATTTGGATTTTATCTATTTCTTAGTTCTGGTTCATCTCAGGCAAGGATTTGCATGAAATTTATTGCTTAGTAAATTTGTTTCTGGTAAGGAAGTGAGGGATAAAGTGGAGAGGGGGGCAGGGAAAAGAAGCTTATGCATGATTCTGGAGGGGAGCTCTAAATTTAAATAAGGTGTGAGTTTTCATCGTCCCACATGGGCTGTGAGATTCCACAGGAGATGTCTGTAAATGTGAAGCTTGTTAGGTTTCCATGCATGTGGACAAAGTGGCTTCAGTATCCCGGGGAAATTGTTCAGAGATCACTGCAGGTGCAGACCATTGAAAGCAAGGAATACAGAATCTCTATGCTACACACAGTATGTGGCATATTAAATAATCAAAGGGAAATATGGATGGAGTGTCAGTGGCTAGTTCAAATCACTTCTCTCTGAGCCATCATTATCTCCTACTGGACCAGTGCAATAAACTCTAACCAAAGTCTCATAACCAAATCCCTTTTCTACCCTTTAGCCTATTTTCCAGTTATTGCCAAATTAATCTTTTCCAAACATGTCACATTAAAATCTTCCGACTGTCTTCCTTTGCACTGAAAATGAACATGAATTCCTTTCTGTACTTTATAAAAGCCTATGGGATCCTGGCTCCTGCCTGTTTCTCTTGTTCCATCTAATACAGTTTCATTTTTATTTTATTTGCTCAAAGGCCTGCGTTCTTCACACAATGAGCATCGTAGTTTGAATAAACCCCAGAAAATAAAGATCATTCTCCAACTTTCTTTTTCAAAGGTTATCAAAGGGAATGCCCAAAGACACTCTCCCAGTGGGAAGAAAGCAAGGTTGCCAGTGTGCGTGACTAAGGAATTTACTCTGTTGTATTATATTGGAAGAGGGTAGAGATGTCCTTGAGATCCTCTTGTCATTCATTCTCTGCTGCACCACCACCAATCTACCAAACAGGGGCAAGTTCCAGGACAATGGCCACTAGATGGTACTTTTCCCTTTCACGTTTTATAAGTACCATTTGATGTTGTATATTTTCAGTTTTGCATTTACATTAACCAATGATGCCATTGTTGATATGTACATGAATAGCCACATCGATGATAACCACCATCACCTGAGAGGTGAAAGCAAGAAAATGATGTGATCTGGGATTTCTCTCACTCTGCGGTGTGTGTATTTGCATCCATATATGTATTATACTCAATAAGAGCAATGCATTTAGTAATGGGTATAGGAATTAGGGAGCGTATATGTGCTGGACAGAACCAGCAGTTCTAGACCACAGCAAGCATCTGGAGCATGGCCTGCCAGTCACCATTCTTTTCATGGCTGTGTTGACCCCTATCTCTGTGGTTATGGTGGAAATGACCATGGTTGATGCTAATGAAGATTATGACAGTAACACTAACTTGTTGTACTGTGTGCTAGCCCTATGCTAACTGTTTTACATATACTATATTATATAAAATATTATTGAAGTCTGTGGATCTGAAACTTTGTTCTAACAATTTTTACCTGTGTGAACTTTGTCAAGTAACTTTAAGTCTGCATGCCACATTTTTTGGCATACGTATGTGCTATTTTAAAAATAATATAAGTCATTGTAATATACGTGTTATTACTTTTTCTGATAAAGTTCAAAACATAGTCAGGAATACTACTTTTTGAATCAGGCACTGATTTATTTTCTTGTATAGATGGAGTAGTTGAGACCAAGGTGCTGTGGATAAATATCCGAAAGGCTCACAGGTAGTAAAGAATAAAGCCACCCTGCAGCCTTTATATCTTCTTGGCCCCTGGACAAAATCCACAGATGTTTGGTTCAGCATTAGGTATCTGGCCAAAGTCCATTCCAGGATTTTTAAAACTCAAGTTAGAAAAGACTATCAGTTTGCTTTCTGGAACTGAAGTTGTCAAATTTGAAATTATTAGTCTCATTCACATACTTTATCAAGTTGAACATGTTTAGAGCAAGAGAAAAAACAACGAGAGAGAAGAGACAGACAGAGAGACAGAGAAAGAGCTGAGATAGAGACCTGGTGTGAATGAGAATGTAGAACACAAGATCCTAATTCTAGTTTTCATAAGTAGGGTATGACCTGCTGTGTCTTTTTTCATTTTCTTTTTTCCTTTCCACACTTCATTTAGAATATGAGAGATGATGGTGGTGATCAAGCAAAAGAAACCAACGTGAAAGTAATGCAGGCAAAACAATTCATTGGATTGCAAAATAAAATTAAAACCAACTTGATAACAAAACTAATTTTGAAATACTAAATGAACTGTAGTTTTAAATCCGGAAGAATCAACTTACTTTCTCAACAAAAAGACATTGTTTGAAGATTCTAGATATTGTTATCCCACAGATAAAATGCTATACTTAATTTTATAATATCAGTTTTGTATACTTGTTTTCATATTATTTTAGGAAATCATTTTTTAATGTTTTCGTTGTTTTTGTTATCAATTATAAAGAATCAACATGCTAAGTATAGTAAGTATTATAAGACACAACTCTACATATATTTGATACCACTTAATTTTCCTTGAGGCAACTTTTAAACATAAAAGGAGAAAGAGGGGAGAAGAATAGAGAAAAGAAGGAGGAGGCAGAAGAGATGAAATATCTTGTGAAAAGTGGGAGATTACAGAAAGAAAATAGTGATCTTTAAAAGTATAAAATTCTTAGCTATATGTATGTATTAATGCACAATTTACTTTTATCATTCCTAAGGGCTTTTGAATATTTAATGTGATAACTAATATATTTTTGGGCTTATTTTTTCAAAATATTTGATTTTTTAAATTATAGATATATTCACATATATCTGATCATAATACAATTATGTTCGAATTAGCTGTTAAATTGTTGTTTAGATTACTTGGGTTATGTATGTCTCTGTAGATATCTATGTGATAAATGAGTTTTTCGTAATCTATTCATAGGAAAAGAATGTAATATAGTATACACGTGTTATTTATAAAATCTAAATAATATATGGAATAAATTTTTGAGTTCACAGGTTAAAGAAATGTGCAAGGTAACCTAATAAAGCCATTTTTTCTCCCTCTACTCTTCAGGAGAAAGAGACCATACGTTGAATCCTACATCTTGAGGAAGCCACAGAGAATGAGGACTTACCTACTACTATTCATCTGGACTTACATGTTCCATGTGGTTGACACCCTCCCACTCCAAGAAAAAGCTCACAGTCATTTGCCAAGTGGAAAGATTGTGGGTCTGACAAAGGATGGTGGTAAAATTCTACGTCGCACCAAGCGAGGCTGGATGTGGAATCAGTTCTTCTTGTTGGAAGAGTACACAGGCACAGACACACAATATGTAGGCAAGGTGAGAAATTTTATGTGAGAAATCTAAAAGATGAAAGTAATACTTACTGTTTTACAACATCTTTCCACATCGCTAATAATTATTCAGAAATCTTTGGCTGATGAAGAAGTTTAGAATGCATGAGACTGCAACTGCTTTCAATGGGGTAGGGTGAGAATTGTGATGTATCCAGGTACTAAATGTAAATTAGTATTTATAACAAGCATCAAAACAAGACAAATTATACATGAGCTTGATTCACCATTCAGCAGCTACCTATGGTACAATTGAATGGGTTTGTATTTAAAACACTTTTCATTGAAATTTAATTGAAAGTCATGGGGAAACAACAGAGCATGTTATCTGAGGCAAAGCAAAATTCAATTATTGTGTGCTAAAAGAATTGCTGAAATATACTGGTATAGATTGATGAATATTTCATCATAATGAAGAATAGTGTGCTATGCATAAGAAATAAAGTACTTCTAGATGGTTCTACTTCTTAATATCAGCCAAGTTGAATTACTTCTTGCCTGTAATTCAGACTAGAGTGTTCATAGCAGAAGGAGGAAGAAAAGATAAAGGGAAGAGGCCACTTCCTTTAGGAAGATGAAATTCTGTGTCAGTTGAAGGAGCACCAGTGGTTGCTCAGTAGGAATCGGGAGCAATGAGTATGTGGTGTAGAAAATGGGTAAACTCTCTCCTTGGGTTTAATTTGGAGTAAACAATCTCCTGGCTTCTCTCCCGCTTTTTTTCAGTGTCTAGAGACTTTTCCTTCCATTAGCTCATCGCCTTTCTCTTTTCTTTAACAGCAGCATCATCTTGTCAACATCCCTAATTTTCTACTTGTCTATCATCTCCTCACCAATCTCACTCATGCTACTCTATCCTCAGGACAATAGATTTTTTCCACTGTAATTATCCCCAGTTTACACGTAATGCTAGGTACTTTCAAATTCTGAGAATAAAACGATTTTAAATCCTACCATTATCCACAGAGGACACATTGATTTTTCCTAGTTCTTAGCACATGATTACTTCAAGTGACTGTAATTGTCTGAGTATTGTCTGACTAATCAGTAACACCAGGCAAATAAATTGGAATAGAGCCAAATTAAAAGATGTTCAAGTACTCGATAGCATAGAAGTTGTGTCTTTGAATTGAAACAGGGAACACATTTGCTCTGTGAGATTGCTGGAATCCTACCCAACCCTTCATTCTGTGTGTGCACCAATCACACGCAGCCTCCCTTATCAGAAGCCTGTTATGGCCTCTTCTTTGGAACTCTCCCTCCTCTGCTTACATAGGTCATGCTCATTTTGCCCCATCCAGTTCCTTTGCTGATTCTTCCCCCCATTATTTCATCTCTGGTTAATCATGTGGCTTCTCCAGCATCCCGCATAGAACATCATTTTCCTGCTAGATTTAATAACTAACTTTTTGAAATTCAAGTTAAGCTGGCAAATGTTTACATCTAAGGATATGCAATTCCCTACGATTCTGCTTCTGAGGCAGTGGACCAAGACAAATTGAGGTCACAAGGCCTAACAGAAATGATTTTATCTCGGAAGATTCACAGATATAAAAAAATACTCACAGATACAAAAGGGCACTCATAATCTTAAGGCTGGAAGTTCTACAACAAGCATTTATTTTTAGCCAAAAACAAAAAGTACTTTTTTTCTATAAGTTGAAAATTCATAGATGAATTTCTAAATTTATCACCACTCTTGCACTGACATTTAAAAATATTTCTTATACTTTAAGTCATTTTATAAAATCTTGTTTGTGTTTTTTAGCAGCATATTATGGGGGGTACAAATGTTTTGATTACATGAATATTGCTTTCGTACAGTTTGAGTCAAAGTTAGACGTGTGCCGCTCACCTGGATCCGGTGCATCTTCCCTGTTAGGTGTGAACTTACTACTCCCCTTTTGGCCCCTCTCCCTTGCTTGCTTTCTGTGAGTTTTACTACTGAATGTGTCTATGGGTGTAATCAATTAGTTCCAGTTTAATAGTGTGTATATGTGATGTTTCTTTTTCTTTTCTTGTGCAACTTCACTTAGAAGAATGGTCTCCACTTCCTTCCAGGTTTTTGCAAAAAGTACTAGTTTGCCTTTTTTATGGTTGAGTAGTACTCCTTCATATACATATATCACATATTTTAAATTCACTAATCTGTCACAAATCATTGATAAATATATGTGCGCAGATTTATTTAATTACCTTTCATAAAATATTTTTTAATTTATCTTAGAAAGAGGATATCCATTACCAGGTTAAGGAGTTCAATTTTTTGTGTCTTCCTATTTATAGCAACCAGATCATGAACCCCAAATGGAAAACTCATTATATTAATCAGATGTTTTGGTAGATGAGTATAATCAAACCAAAACTATCTCAAAACTATCTGCCAAGTATTTTTATGTTCTCCATATAAACCAATATGTATATAAAAGTAAAATTGCAACAAAAAGAAACACATGGGCTAGCCTTTTTAAAAAAAACAGAGTTTTCTCTGTTTTGTTATCTCCCTTTCATTATAGGAGAAAAAAGTTGGCAGAATCTCTGTTTTGTTATGGGACCTTATTTAAGATATTCTATAACCATATCTCTCCCTCAATATAAGAGAGAAAAGTTGGTGATATTAGAATTAAGATCAAGAGGTCAAAAATCAGCTTTTTCACCACGTCTTCACATGTATGAGGTTATTACAGGCCGACCCTCCATACTCTTTCCTAACCTGCTTTCTTTGCAGTTGACATCATTATTAATTTGCATATATGGAGGCTGAACTTGGTCAAACATATGAATTCTGATAAAGATTTACCTTCTTGAACAGCACACTGATTGTCTTTTGATACAGTGCAACTTCTTCCCTGGATGTACCCAAAACTAGGCTTTAAGCATCCCTTGAATTAGTAGTGTCTCTTGTAAAGAGAAGGACTGTCATACTCACTGTGCACCATGACTGGGATGGAGCAGGGAGCTTCAAATGGGAAGAAATTTCACCATTTGTGTTTAGTCTTATCTAAGCTAAGTATCACAGAAAATGATGAGAACTATATTCATTTAGAGGTGTTATAAACTTGCACTAAGTTGTAAGGACATATAATCTTTGCAGGTAAAACCTAAAGTTTGATCTTGATAAAATAATTAAAATAGTATCAGCAAAACTTAATAAATTATATATCTGCACACAGAGACACACAATTTATGAGATTTAGCCTTGATTGTGCCATTCAGGATCTAAATAAAACTCAGAATTTATTTAAGCTTTCCAACCCTCAGATCCTTGTTGTATTAAATTAAATGGCCATCAGAATTTCTTTAATTCAAAATTTCTGCTATTTCCTAGGGTTTTGGAAGGGCCTGCCATTGTGAGCAGGACAAGCCAGTAAAAAATTAGTACAAATGTGCAGATGGATTGCGTATAGCACAACAAACAAAAAAAAAGGCCAGTCTAATAAGATAAAGTTAGACCGGCACTGGGAACAGCCTAAAATTCCAGGTTGAATTGTTCTTACGTACAGCACAGGATGTGGACAATCTGTTAAAAGCTCATGTAGAAATTAGTTACGCGAGGAGCACAAATCTGAAATGATGTTTGCTTTTGTTGTCCGGATGGATGAGAAAAATAAGAAATGAATCAAGATTACATTTTTGTAAGGAAATGCTGTAGAATATTTCTCTATACCATCCAGACTTTTGCACTACAGGAGAGAAAAGTTGGCAATGTTGGAATTAAGAGAAAGTCTTTATTTTTCATAATAATGCAATTTGAAGTTTTGTTGGTCACTTTTGATGGAAACTATTAGAGATTTACCAATTCTGTTTAATGTACAAGGAAAAAATTTTGTTCTTACTAAAGAGGATTACAAAGTCATAACAATTGCCATCTAGCTTCTCTGTAATTAGAATAGACCTAAGTGACTGAATTATTTCGGCAGAATACTAATATGCTCCACAGAAGAAGCAAAATAAATTTAGCAACAAGCCCAGCAAATGTTCCTACTACTTACTCTGTTACAGAATCATTATACATACTTGATATTTTTACATATTAGATCAAGGTCCTTAAGAATCTTGGTATTTATGGATGATAGTGAACTAACATATGCATATTATTGTTGAGAATAGAGCAGAATTTAACTATTTGATTTTATTATCTGATTTTAGCCTAGCTGACATAATGTTTATTATTTTTGTAGGAAAAAAATATTTTTAATATCAATTTAATTGACCACTACATTTTAATTCCAAGCTGGTTGTTTACCATATACTTTAAAGCAGGGCAAGGGACCATTATACCAATGGACTGTCTATAAGTAGTCACAATCAGGAAACGATAGGTATTTTTATTACAGTGTTAGCTCTGATATTTTCATAATTTTAGTTCAAAACTTTTGTTATTCTACAGCTCAAGTCATCATGAGTATAATCATAGAACCTAATGTGGAAGAGGACTTTTAACATTTTATCAAGCTCTGCTTCTTAGTTAGAATTGGTTTCAGTGTTACCTAAAACAATGGGAAACCCAGGTACCAAAAGTGACTGTTTATTTGGTTGAGTATTAAAATGTTGGGTGACTGTCTTT